CCATGCCGTTTACGTTATAAAATCAACCGCCATCCATCCATGTGTAACATATCACACAGAATCGTACAAATCAATTTTGTCACTTCAGAGCTAGCCATACATCACAATTGCTAGATGCAACGACAAACCCATCCTCCGGGTGCAACTAACGGTGGGAACTGGCTTCGTGTTCACCCAAGTACTACGCCATTAAACTCAATCGGCAAGCGATTATCAAACAGTTGCTATCTCTTACGCCTCCCAGCAACGGTTGCTTGCGCTTGAAACTCACATAAAGGGACACCGACCTGATCCCATACCGATAGCTGTTGGGTTTGACTCTTCACACATCAGGTGAATCCAATTCTTTGGGATGCTTTCAAAATTATTTCACTGACATAGCCATGGTCATACGCGTGTGTGTGTGTGTGTGTGTGTGTGTGTGTGTGTGTGTGAAAGAAAAGTGTGTGTGTGTGTGTGTGTGTGTGTGTGCGTGCGTGCGTGTGTATGTGTGTGTGGGGATGTATATATGTGTGTGTGTGTGCGTGAGTGAGTGTGTGTGTGTATGTGTGCGTGTGTGTGTGTGTGTGTGTGAGTGTGTGTGTGTGTGTGTCTGTGTGTCTCTGTGTCTGTATTAGTCTCGACTTGTGTAAAGGCTTCATAGCGATAGCCCACTGAGATACCACGCCGCAGATTAGCACTGATGCCTGCTCATCCCCATTAAACTCCAAACCGGGCGAGCGGTTCTTGATCCATTTGATGCTTAGCGTCAGGCAGGGATACGGCTTGTACATCTTTTAACGTCTTCTGGTATGAGTGAGTGAGTGTGTTTAGTTTTACGTCGCACCCAGCAATATTCCAGCCATATGGCGGCGGTCTGCACATAATCGAATCAAGACCAGACAAGCCAGTGATCAACAGCATGAGCATCAATCTACGATGAGCATGAGCATCTGGGATACGATGACATGTGTCAACCAAACTACTCGATCCAGTTAGTTGCCTCTTACGACAAGAATGGGTTATGAAGGTCAATTCTAACCCGGATCTTCACGAGATCTTCTGGCATGAAACGGCCAGAGATCGAGCAACGTACCACGGCTGCCATGGCAGACACTCCATTCACTACAGAAAAGGGATTCCAGTGTGTGTTCAAGGCAAACAGTCGTGACAGTTACTTGAACGGATCAATAGAAGCCAGTAAATATATGTAATTTATTACGATAATCCTAAGTAATGTACACCTTTGTACTTTTGTCTGTTTACATTATGCGCATACCGTGGCAGACAATGTCACCTCCTGTACTCTTCTTATCATGAGGGGCGGTGGGGTAGCCTAGTGGTTAAAGCGTTCGCTTGCCACGCCGAAGACCGGGGTTCGATTCCCCACATGGGTAAAATGTGTGAAGCCCAATTCTGGTGTCCCCCGCCTTGATGTTGCTCGAATATTGCTAAAAGCGGTGTAAAAACATATTCACTCACTCTTATCATGAATGAATGACAAACCAGAGCTTTGATATCATTTGGATCACGAGGCATGTTGACATTCCTTATCATCCCTCTAACGATGGAAACTATAATCATCTCGATTGTGACATTTCATAAATAGGACATGGTCAGTGAATATTTCTGTTACTTCCAAACAGAATATCCTATAATATTCATGTTCAACCACTGACCACAAGATTCCAAATTGACAAAATTAGTGAAATTCGCTTGGAGGATTGAAGATGGGGCAACGGTCAACTCCTACTTACCCCTTCTTTAAAAAGAAACAGTATCCCAATTAACGGTTTTGCCTTTTTGTTCAGAACCAAAGATCCGAATCTTTGCATTGGCAGAAAAGAGGTTGGCATTGACACGTCATTTAATGTTTGATACGAGTGACGAGTGGGTATGGTTCTACGCCCATTTTAGCAATATTCCAGCACAATCACGGTCGGGGACACCAGAAATGGGCAATTGTAACCTTGTGGGAATCGAAACCGGATCTTCGGCGTGACGAGCGAACACTTTAACCACTAGGTTACCCCACCGCCCAAAATATTTGATACCCATGTTGCAGACTGTTTATAAAGTTCTCTATAATTAATTACATCTTGAAACTTTTCAGTGCTATTGAAAGCTGGAAGTTCCCAGTTTTATGTTGGTTATTTTGTCATTGGCTATGCAGTTTAGACTGTCAACACCATACTGTTAGAATTTGTCTTCACTTCTGTATGTTTAAAAAAAATTCCTTTCGTTTTGTTAGGATTCGTTTTGTTTCTACTTCGTCTTTTTTAAATTAAAACCATGTGGATTCTGAAATTCTAAATGTAATTTTGCGCAACTCCAAAATAGCACCAAGTGTAATTCTGAAGTATTTCACTTTGAATACAACTACCCCGCTATATACACCCAAGGATAAACCTTCTTCCTTTGATCCCTGAAGTACTTGTCACTGTAAATAAATATAGTTCCATCTCGTCCTCAAAGATTTAGAACAACTTGTTTTCTGGAGTTTACTCAGAAAAACACAATATGTGAAATGCAGGCTTCCTAAAAGACAACACCTGTATGTAATTTTAGGAAAAGACATTTAGGCAAGAACATTCGAGTTGGCACCTACAGTGTTATCCTCGTTACTGTTCCTTCATGCATATAAGGGCGGTGGGGTAGCCTAGTGGTTAAAGCGTTGGCTCGTCACGCCGAAGACACGGGTTCGAATCCCAACATGGGTATAATGTGTGAAGCCCATTTCTGGTGTCCCCCCGCCGTGATGTTGCTGGAATATTTCTAAAAGCGGCGTAAAACCAAACTCAGTCAGTCAGTCATGCATATAAAATCGGAGTTTCATCTGGGTATGGCAAAATCAAAATAAAGGAATTCGTTAAGAAACTTAAGCTTCAGGAATATCGATAATCTGTTGTATGAGTTTATCAGAAATGTGTATCCCCATTGCCTAGATCGATGCTCATGCTGTTGATCACTGGCCATGGATTGTCTGGTCCTGACTCGATTATCTACAGACCGCTGCCATAGAGCTGGAATATTGCTAAGTGCGGCGTTATATAGCCAAAATACCAAATCCCTTGCATGTTGTAGCGGTGACTTGTGTGTCGTACCTGTAGATGTGCGATTGATTCCATAGGACTCACCCGATTCCATACGAACGGGTATCACTGACTGCTCAAGAAAGTTTGAAGTCATTACTAAAACCTTAAGCTGCTAAAGATAAACGGAATAAGAAAAATATAGATTCATATTGTTATCTATTCTAAGTTTGTGGTGTTGCAAGCATACCTCTTTAGACGATGGAGAAAATAACAGGTAGGTAGGTAGAAACGTGCTTGGTGAGTGAGTGAGTGAGTTTAGTTTTACGCCGCACTCAGCAATATTCGAGCTATATGGCGGCGGTCTGTAAATGATAGGGTCTGGACTAGACAACCCAGTGATCAACAGCATGAGCATCGATCTACGTAGTTGGGATACGATGATATACACATGTGTCAATCAAGTCAGCGAGCCTGAGCACCCGATCCCGTTAGTCGCTTCTTACGACAAGCATGGGTTACTGAAGATCAGTTCTAACCCGGATCTTCAAGGGTCAAAAAGATGCTTGGCTCGAGTAACAAGCGCGAATACCTGTCATTCAGATAACAGTTTCACTCTGTAATTCATTTACCTTTCCACAGATCAATCTCTTACCAATTTACACGTATACAGAGTTAGCACTACGATGTTCTGCTATCTGAATGCATTCACGAAACCGCTCACCAACATATATTCGCAACGCACTCACCCAAACACTCACCTATTCACATTCACTTGCCAACTCCCTAAACCTGCTCATACGTTTATCATCTTTAAAGAATGCGTACAAGTAGCTCAGCTGTGAAAGACAAGTATTACTTACGTAAGAATGCCCAAAACTATTATACTCCAGAAACCGCATGTTACGCCAGTATTTCTGTAAATAACCATTGAAGTCTTCCAAATGCATTAAAGTCACTGTGTTCTTTAATCTGATTGGTTGAAAAACATGATCGATACCCGGAATTACAAGACCATTCGCTGCGTATTAATACGTACAAACATCGCACACACCATTGTATTGTCACGTCGTCAGCAGCGGTGACGTCATTCAAATCATATTGTGACGTAAAATGAGCAGTTCCAGATGCTACCATGCCAGACAGCCGAAACGGCCGGCTGATGACACTTCACTGCTGTACCCGTACTCGATGTCAATGAGTGCAGACACAAAAACGCGTGCGGACCCTTTGGTTTACTTTTGTGTTGACAATGTCGATAAACATCATGTGTTGGCCAATTTCCGGGTGTTATTGAATATTTGAAGCACGGGAATATTTCATTTGAAATCCCCGGCTGATGCCGTCGGTTCCAAATGAATTCCCGTGCTTCAAATACCCAATAACACCCGGAAATTGGCCAACACATGATGTTTATCTCCTAAATGTGCTCACAAGCCACTTACGACCAAAATATAGTTACATATATCAGAGGTTCATTTTGTATTAACCCTTGAAGATCCGGGTCAGAATTGATCTTCACTAACCCATGCTTGTCGTAAGAGGCGACTAACGGGATCGGGTGGTCAGGCTCGCTGACTTGGTTGACACATGCCATCGTATCCCAGTTGGGCAGATCGATGTTCATGCTGTTGATCACTGGATTGTCTGGTCCAGACTCGATTATCTACAGACCGTCGTCATATAGCGGCAATATTGCTGAGTACGGCGTAAAACAACAAACCAACCAACCAAAAAATCGTATTCTTCGTCTTCTTATTCTTCCACTATTTATTCCTCTCCTTCTTCTTCGTCGTCGTAGTCGAGAAATATGTGTGTACATCCTTCCCTGTTTACTGCGGCATCGTGTGTTACAAGCATACTCCGACAAGGCACGACGTTACCAACCACCCAAAAAACAGATTCTGTGTCGTCACATGATTCATCCAAATCGTACACAAGTACATATTGCTACTTCAATCATTACAATAAAGTAATGACAATTGATGATAATATTTCAAATAAATGTTTTATTTTGGTTCTTAAAAAGAAAAATAAATGTTTTAAACATACTTTTCTCAAATGCTGCAGATAGAAGTATTAGAAGTAAATGAAGAATTATTTCCTATATTTCCACATGTTAGTTATTTATAAATGCTTGAATTGGAAATACACTTTGTATAATAAAAGAATATTGCATTTGACCCCTATGTATGGGGGATTTGTATATGTACACAACCGTAGGCCTTGATCTAACCGTTATAATGAGTAGCCTAGAGACAACGGAATTCCGAGCGAAGTGAATTTTATTACGACTGCATGTGTTACGTTTTGCCAGATGCGTCCAGTCCAAAATATTTTCAGCTCTGCCTTTGAAAACTTTTCAGCTATGCCTTTGCAATATTATCAGTTGTTGGATCATTCGAGTAAATGTTCTTTCTTAATTAAGAGCAGTAGAGTGTATCAGATGGTACTGTTCTCATGACATAGCAAGAGCATAGCACGTAGATATGACATAAACACATAAGGGCAATTAAAGGCACGCAGGGGTCCTTGATTCGTGACGTCAGTAACTCATGACGTCATTAGAGTAGATCCGTTACTTGCACGTAGCCATCACCTTCAAAGCAAAACAGACACATATTCAGTTAAGTTAATTTAGCGTTCATTTCGCTTGAGTAATGTCAAAGCAAACAGTAAAACGACCCACATGTTCCTATGTGACATTTTCAAAATAGGTTTTAATTGCTGATAAATAGAAAATTATCAATTCTATACACGCTTGGCATATTCTGGAGTAAATATCATTCTCCATTTTAACATTTCTAGCCATTATGAACTTGTCTAGTATAGGCTTAATGGGCACGTGTATCATTACTTTATATGTATTATCGATTAAAGTTAAGATGTAGTATAGATTAAAGGTGAAAATGTCATATTTAGACTATTGTAGATACCATGTCAATGGCAATTGAACTCGATTGACTTCTACGTACATTGATACCTAGTGAAGGATTTCATTTCTTTTGTCATGAGAGATAAATTTCCCCATAAACACGGCCTTGCATTGTACCTAACTTTAGATCTCAATCCGGACGAGGTCATTCTCTTCCCACAGAGGTTACTCCTGTCATATCTTCCTACGTAACCTCTGTTCTAATACGGCCCTTTCATGGTGTGAGCGTTCAAGACTCGTGATTGGAGGCAATCAGATTTAGTTGTGCAATCAGCGACGTTGTTTCAAAAGTGATCATTCGCAAGGCCTTGGTAATTTGCGTATACTTCGAGAAAACTAAACCTCTTCCCCTGCGCGATGCGCAAACGTTTCTTTTAGACAGAACTCAGTCATGTTATGGCGGATCAGTGGCGTCTCCATCGCCCTCGTTGACAACGGACAAGCTAGCCATTAAACGTCTTGTGTGTAACATCAACACAAGTCCCCGGCAGATGGGGGATATTTGTGGCCTCACATTTGCTTGTGTTAGTCAAGTTGAATCTAAGTCGATGTAACACGTGTTCTGATTGGATAGAAAGAAGGGAGATAATTTGTGTTGCGATCTTTTGCCGCTAGGGGGATTTTACGAGAACCGGGAAATATGGCCGTATTAGAACAGAGGTTCGTAGGAAGATATGACAAGTAACCTCTGTGGGAAGAGAAAGGGATGAGATCAGCCGTCTTAGAAAAACGATCTCATGTATATATTAGTTTCCCTCTGCCAAGGTACCCCACTATGATATCATGAGAAACTAATTTGGTATTTAGTTTAATTAAACATCCAGAATTACGGTATTGTGTCTAGTTCTCATCTGGTTACCTGATACCAGATCTAAATCATTTTCAACTAGCGTAATTCATTTCATGAGACATGACAGTTAACTTAAGATACAAATCCATTAGTGACGAAACATAACATTTTCGCGAACATTATATGTGAGAACAAGGACCATAAATCTGGGTCATAATACATAACTTTTTCATAAAGCTTCCTTTTTTGTTCCTTGTAATTTAATCCATTATAATGATTTCAGCAAGAAATGGCTTGGATCTAAACACACATTATCGATTATACGATTCTTGCATCACTTACGCAACTGCTGTGTATAAAAGGTTATCGACATGAACTTTAATGTACGTTATCATACTGCGTGGGTTCGAATCCAACATTTGACCCAATTATGATCCAAACCGAAACATGAGTCTCATTAACTTATTCAGACAATGACCTACTTTTCAGCCGATCCGACTTTTCAAATGTGAACGTGAAAATAGCCATCGCAAACAACTATGGTTACACTGCATTCCAATTCCTTGTTTCATAAGGTATTACAAATGAATTGTCATTTTAAACTTTAATAACATCGTATTTCTATATTTTATGGCGAGGTGTAGGCAGCATGACCTTAACTAAGACGTCACAGACCGCCCCAGTTTGATGAGGTCGTAAAATGATTCGTAAAATGCATCTGGCTCACTGGTTACACCTGCTATGTGTTTCGTGCGCTAATTCAGGGTAGTTCTGTAACGCACAATGTGATTGATAGAATAGCAAGTCCGTACCAGACCGCCAAACTTTTTTAGCGACAGAGCCTCGTTTTGAGATTTCCACGATTTCCAGGTTTCTGTTTGTCAGTGCTCGCTGTACGACAGAGCACGCTGCACGTTTGCAAGGATTATAAGGAGCGTAGTGTTGCAATATACAATTGCTCAGATGTATCAAATAATACTGATTAATATCTTTAAGTATCCAGTTAAATGAATTGGTCTCAAAATTCTGGACTGGTTATTGTACTAAGTTGGGCAATAAGATGGAACCCAGTCAACAGGAAACGAGACTGTTGTGTAATCATTGTTTTGACTTGTAAGTCTGTCATAGCTGGACAAACAACGTGTATGTCTTGAACCTCAAGCCCTTACTGAAGAACATATACTACGAACAAAACGTATGGAACACCCTAAAATTTGATAATCATATATAAATTTACACGGGTGAGGTCATTGATACTCTAAGGTAAATGTAACTTTCTGTCTGCTTAATGGGAAGTCTGTCTTCCACATGCACTCTATTGTTGTGTTTGGACGTTTGAATCAGACATGGTGCTGGTGTGTTTCAGCACCCTTGTTTTTCGCTGTTTTTGACAATGTTTCATGTCACTCAAACTCAACGACTATTGAATCAGTTGCTTCAGTGCATGTTCCAACATGTCGTTTAAAGTGCCCATGAAGCACACAAAAAGTTGCATTTACCTTAGAGTATAAATGACCTCACCACGTTTACGTTTATACATGACTATCAAATTTTAGGGTGTTCCCATACTTTTTGTTTGTAGTATATATCTCCCCTGTTTCACTTAAAAACATATATGCCTCCCCTGTCCCACTTTCAATCACCCCCATCAGATACCCTTAACCCCTACCCCCAAACTGTTTAATGATTGTCAATTCTCTTAAAATGAATCAGGTAACCTAGTGGTTAAAGCGTTGGCTCGTCACGCCGAAGACACGGGTTCGAATCCCCACATTGGTACAACGTGTGAAGCCCATTTCTGGTGTCCCCCGCCGTGATGTTGCTGGAATATTGCTAAAAGCGGCGTAAAGCCAAACACAGTCAATCAGTCAGTCTTAAAATGAACTCGGACATAAACCTCTATTTGGTATTAATCGACCTTTTTCAGGACAATATAATCATTGTTGCCTATAATATTACACCCATCAGCGTAATCGCAAGATTAGGGAAGCAAATGTTTATGTCGATCATCATTGTTAAACGAAGCATTGTTTCGCAATGAAGGGTATAGTTTTCTGAGGAGTGGCATCGATCTAAGGTCCACTTTTGTGTGTTGTTCTCGAAAAGCGTTTGACCAGATAAAATACAATGTACTGGCGCTGCTCAATGATCAATGCTGTCGATTATCATTGTTCATTAAAGATGTCCGATTTAAACATGGCATTTGTTTCGCAATGGATGGTATAGTATTCCGAGGAGTGGCAACGACCTAAGGTCAAACTTTGTGTGTTGTTCTCGAAAAACGTTTTCACCAGATAAAATACTATGTGCAGGCGATGCTCAACGATCTGTTACAGGAGCTTGTAAAGAGATTTGCTGGACTTCACTGTCTCCGCTTAGAGAACACAGTAATTCTATCTCAGACTGCAGGGTAATACATAGGCGATATATAAAGGAAACTGTCAAGTGGTCATTACACGCGATGCTGAAACCAAAACCTAGACTTACGTTATTATATTTATGCGTCAGAATGCTATTACGGTTGCAAAGGGCCCGCCGTTGCATGGAAACAGGGAAAAGGAGAAAGCAGTTGTTTTGCATTTAAAGCATCGGGGAGAATCAGGTTGGGCAAAGTGGGTTTCACGTTGTGATTATTGCATTTGAAAAGCGATAGTGTGTGCGTCCGTTCGTACGTGCGTATGGGTGTCTGGCGGCTTTTAATAGGCAACACTAATCCCGTATCTATTCATCTAGGCTAAAGAGACACCATGCTAATGGTTAACATAGATACGTTCGTGCGTAAGGGTGTCTGGCGGCTTTTACTAGTCAACACTAATCCCGTATCTATTCAGCTAGTCTAAAGAGACACCATGCCAATGGTTAACATAGATACCTGCTCGGACACAATATACTGAGTCGACCACTCAATGTGTCCCCACACTACCAGGCACGGTAATAACAAGCACAGTCTTCTAACGCGTTTTGGTAGGACATGGCGGGGTATTGAACCACCGACCCTTTCTCTCCGTACAGCTATTATAGGTTTATGACAGTAAGGGAAAAACCTATATTTAATATGATGGATGTAAATGATAATATGTGTCGAGACCACAAGATATTGTTGGTTTTGTGTAGAGATATTTACCGTCAGTATCCAATGTTTTGGCTACCAGCATGGCAAAAGCGTGGTCCTTCTGCATGATGTCAGCAGCCTCTTGTAGTGTCATGTATTGCCTGGAAGGGAAACACGTTATAGGTTATTTAAATATATAATGCAATTGCGATGTTATATTCAGCCAGAAACAGAAATATTACAGCTGACCTTCGTTTGTCCATTTGAATCCGGAAACCTGCACATACGGGACTATTACTGTTACTGTTTGACGCCGATGTCAGCAACATGTCAACTTTATGACGGAAGCATTTAAATAGTCAATTGAGAACCAGGCAATAAAGTGATTGATATTGTGAGCACCGATACATATTGCCGGGGCACGATGACACACCATTAACCATGCCTGACCACTAGTCCTTTTGGTTTTCCCTTTCGACCAGCATCGAGTTCTGGAGAACATTTCTAACCAAATATCCCGATCTAGTCTGATCAAAGCCGTCTGGGTGTGGAAACAAGCCGTTAACAGATTGCTGAAAAACAGTTCTGTCCCAGATACCACAAGAGGCAGAGAGCGATTCCACCTTGGAATGCAAAGATGCATTTCCCTTGACTTGTACTCCCGATGTATTTCCGGTGAACAATTGAATAGCCTTTGCACACAATGTACGTTTATGCCGGGTCAGGAGACGATCACCAATTTCGTGAAATCCTGATCCTGACTGTTTGATAGTGATCCATAAACACATCTAAGCATAAAAACTCATGATGTTAGTCACTGGATTGTCTGGTCCACGACTCGACTCTACTACTCGACTTTCAGCTGTAATAATGCTAAGAGCGGCGTTAAATAGACAAACACATGCTCATAGTCAGCATTGTACAATGGGGATTTGTTATATACTGGACAAAATAAGTTAGGGACATTGGTATTTTTATGATTGACATTTTATCAGTGTGTCAATGAATAAATAGATCATAATTCATAATTTCAAAATTTACATATATCCCTAACTATTTTTGTCCAGTATAGATAAGAAAGGGTTTTGTCTCCTTTATTTACCTTCACATGCATGCAAAATGAGATCACTCACTAAACTCATCTATCCGCATACCAAAACACACATTCCCAAAGGTTGCCTATTAAAACAATAAATACCTGTTTGAATAGATTCTTTAAAACTGCTCAACTAAAATGTCTGTGCGACATAAATAGTCCGGTCAATTAGAATGTACAAAATTTATAATCATTATCAATATTATTTGTTAGTGAAATGCTTTACGGGATCGAAAAAGAGAAAAAAAAGTCTACACATTACAGTTAATCTATGCTAACCCGGACCCCTTATTCTTGTTGATCCAGATACCCTGTTTTTCGGGTGCACAGCTGACAGACCTATCGGCAGGTGAGTATGGTTGTCATATGAAAGCTCTTGCTGTCAGTGCGAGAAACCAGTCTTAAGAATGTGATATCATAATCCCAAAAACAAGCAAGTGCAAAGTAGGTCACCTTGCAGTACCACTACTTTCAACATCGAAACGTCAATGTCTTCTTTCTAGAAAAACTATGGACTTGCTTTCCCAATATACTTATATACAAGCTTCCAATCGTGAGCAGTCGGTTAGGTGCCTTACTCTCTGACTCAAATCCGGAAATCTATTAATCCGATCTACATTACAAGGAACGGTGCCATTCTGATTGAAGCACTTGTCCTGCGCACATACAATCTTCATCATATAAGAAAAAAATGCAATAACCTTGAAACTGTTCGCATAAGATCGTCTTCTGTGACCTGTGACCTTTTCCCGTAGAGATAGCCGCCAATCCCGTAATGCGCACGTGGTTTCCTGGCCCGCGTGCTACCAAGCGCCGTTCTGATTGGTCAAGTGATCTTCCCTCTGTGACGTATATAATACAAACGCAGGCGAAGAGGAATAACGTTGTGTATGTCATACTGATGGACCTGAAACGTGAAATCAAAGCATTTGATAAAGAGTCCGAAGGTTTATTATAGTGCATTTAGCAATATTTTAGCAACATCAACAATTACCTTCATACATCTTATACTACAGACTTGAACTCGGACTATCGCGTGACGAGCCAATGTTAAAATCTCGAGGCTACCCTAACATCCCAGGGGTAGGCAGAATGTGCTTTATACAGTAACCATGTAATTAGAACCTGAGTCTTTGGCAATAACAATAAATGCTGAGGCAAATTCACTAACCCACCCACAAGAGTAAGCTGAACTAAACTGACAATGTAGTTTGTGTGATATTTGTTTTTGTTTATTAAAATATAGAGAAACAGCGATTTCCCAGCAATTTCATGGTCAGCTTTAAGGGTTGGGAGTGTTAGCCACAGGGATGAAGTTGTGAAGTAAATTAATGAAGTTTTCACAACTTTAACGCAAACTGCATGCTACATATCGTGGACACAAAAAGGATTATCATATGAGATAATCTATGTTAAAGATGTAAAACCATCATTATTGTAATGACGATGATGTCATACAAAAACGAAACAGAAAGAGCCATTTTGTTTAGTGTTTCTCATCTCAAACCTCAACCACCAAGGCAGCGGCTGGGTGAAAAATAATATAATTACAAAATTAAATAAAAATGTTTTTGACTAATGGTGTAACACACGTTTGGAAGCTTTGAAACTTAGATGACTTGTTATTGGTTCATAAATAAATTCATGGTGCAGATCAAGTCGCCTTGCTAGGGAAACATTTTATGAAATATATGTAGATGCCAAATGATCCAGCAGACCTGTGTCATGGGGGAGAGTATTGTTTTGTTACATTTTGCATTCATTTCCACAGCGAAAATTGAGACAAGAAAACTTTTTACTATTTCACGTGGGAATGAAACTTCAGGGCGGATGGAAGTTGAGAACACAGAAAACAAATACCGACAGCCACTGGATTTGAAAACAAAACGTTACGTGATTGAAAAACGTCGAGGAAAGACTACAAACTAAAGTTCATCACCATTGATAAAACGTTTTATTGGTTGTGTTTGCCACCATCAAAATTGCCGTATATATTGTCATTTGCCGGGCAGTTTTAACGGCTGACAAATTCATTGGTTAGGTCCCATACTACCTGCAGTTCCGAACTGCCTACATCCCAAACTGCCAACAAAATCATTGTAGGCAGCGTGGGACAAGATTTTTGCCCTGTAGAATAATGGAACAGCCGGAGTATCAATGAAGAAGGGGTGCTTCGTTTGGAGTAAGGGATAATTAGGGGGATTATATTAGTGTATATCTGTGCATCTACTTCTGTGTATAGTATGTACTGAGTCTTCTCATCCTTTAAAGACTACAAGACAAGTACAGTGATATTGTTTTATTTTGTTTTGGGAAGCAGTTAGCATGCTTATATTAACTTAATCCTATTTAATCAAGTTGGGTCTTTGTCAGATTATGTCGAAAAACATGGTAAGGACTAAATTGTTGAGAAGATCTCATCTTCTCAGTTAATTAAACTCCAAATAAATTAGAAGGGAACCAACTGCATCCATCACACAATGGCAAATGTTCAACGCGTTCAATTCATCACTTCTCAAGCAGGAGGACAACAAGTTTTCTTTGCTGGGTCGTCATATGAGCGAAATATTCTCAAGCACGACGTTAAACCCAATTTCACCTCACCTCACCATCTTTGCGGGTACCCGATATCGCCTCAACGTCAGACGACAGACCACAACACATTGGAAGTGTGTACATTCTGAATGCAAAGGCCGCTGTTCTACAACTGGAGACTTCATGAAATCAACAACACCGCACAACCATGTCCCAATGGAATCTGAAGATGAGATTCGACTCCTTAGCAGACTGCGTCAGCGTGTACAGCGTGGAACTTCAACGACTACGTCACGAGTACATGGGTGGACTATGAGGCACGTTTTCCGGTACGGATCTGGACGCAGTATGGAAATATTGGCCCGCGGACTAACAACCACCTTGAGGGGTGGCACCTGAAGCTGAAAAACCATATTGCCAAAGCCCACCCAAACATCTACCTCTTCATCTGCAACATCAAGAAAATCGAAGCCATAGACAAAGCTAAACGTGCTCAGCTCGACTGTGGTGCCCTCCCCAAGTCACGCAAGGGTGTTACAGAGAGCTCGATGCGAGACTTCTGAGACCGAAGGAGCACCTCCAGAGCGGCAGAAAAACGCCTCTTCAGTACCTTGATGCTGCTGGACATCTCATCAAGTTTGCAAAGTGATTGTCAGTTGTGTGTAATTGTGAAACAAGTAAAAGACTGTAAAACCAGTGAAAGACTGTAAAACCACTGAAAGACTGTAAAACCTATCAGTTTTTCATGATAAATCCATGTCTCCATGTAAAGTCTGAGAATTCTCAGAATGAATAAAGATGTCCTACCAACCAACACTTGTTATTTTTTTTAAACTTCTGTAGGCGGAGTGGGAAGACACCATAGAATTAACCAGCTAACTAGTCAAGTTCATTTTAGCAGGGGTAGAACAGGTCAGATCGGTGTATTCACTTCCTGATCACTGGACCGTATCATGTTGTTTTAACCTGTAGGCAGTTTGGAACTGTAGGCGGTATGGGAATACACCAATTCATTTACTTATCAAAGCTACTGATCACCCGATGCTACCTTCAATCCCTGCACGCTACCAACACATTAAAAGCTGCAAATGAATAAAACACAAGATTCACACCAACTGCTCTATATACAGTCAAAAGGACCAGTATAGTTACCTCCCTTTTTGACGTCACGCCAATGTACGACAACGTAAATAATAAATGGCTCCTCTCCCTCTAAGCCTCGTTATGGTAAGTGCGCGGGGCATGAGACCATGTATAATGCACGTTTATGGCCTGTCATCGTTATTCTCATTCTGTGAGTTGAATAATCAACGATACCCAGTCACCGGTCTGTGCTATGTCCGGAGCTATTATGCCACATTAATGTGATTGCTTCATGTAGTGGTATCAGTTAAATATGAGGGCACGATTTTGCGTAACAAGCTGGTATCATTCCTATGAGTGTCTACTGAAAAATGCGCTCAGCGAAAGTGCTTTCTGCCATGTAAAAGTATGTTTTGTTTTGCCCAGCTATAGATGTTCGTATTTATAACATCATTATTTGATTTATTTGAGCGCGTGTTTGAATGTTCATTAATCATGGTAACATATACCTTTCCGTGTTGTTTGGTGAACAATTGACTTGCCGCTGCATGTGTCTGTGCCGGGTGCCATTGGCAGGTCAGATTAAACACACCTTTTGAGACACCTTTTATCATCCCTATTTGATATCATGAAATAATAAGATTTCAGCATATGAATATGAGAAATTTGGGGCTTTTATTCAAATAAGGAAATATACATTAAGATGGTAACATGGTGTATATGCGGGGTTATTGGATGGTTATTCTCTACTTTAATTAGTTTAATATCAAATTTGTCTAATAATCTATTTAATATCTGCTTTGATTTACAGCAAGGGCATAACATTGAGAAATTGTTCAATCTTTATTGAAGCATTTAAAGGTTATTCTACATGCTTCATACTAACATTTGTATAGCGCCGATATTCCAGCTCAGCTGCTCAAAGGCGCTTTTTTTCCCTTGATCACTGGATGTCAATCTTCAACGGCACGTCGTATTATCAATCTCAGCTCCCTGGGGATCATACAACTCTTGCAGCCACTAGGCGCACCGAGTTATTGTGTCTTTCTCATCCTACCGAGGTGCCCATTCACAGCTGGGTGGACTGGGACACATAGTCACAGTACTTTGTCCATGTGTACTGCACGTTGCTGTACCCGCAACTAGGTGTTTGCACATATTCATGTGGACACCATCTGGTCATATACCAACGGATTCGTGGGTTCTGTTAAGTGCACAGGGTTGTGCACTGTACACTAGGGGTTGTGACAACACTAAAAGAGTCTGCACACAAAGTTGACTCCAAGGTTTTTACACCCGGTCACAGGTGGGCTCGATCCCGCCACCTCAAGCTCGCTGGATCACTAGCCTGGGGCTTTAGCCAGTTCGCCCACCACGCCCCCATGTATTCTAACCTTGTAGGCATTCGTTTCTGTAAAACAGTGAGTGATATATTAATATTGAAATGTTTTATATAATTGAATGTTCTTTACTTCACAACAAGGTGTAAATCCACTTAGGCTCCATGCAGGTAGCAAACGTAATGTAAGTCCCCATGGTTCCTAGTATGGTGATCTACCTTCAGATGCTAGCGATCTATAGCCCGTGTTTTATATTGTATTGTCTTCTTTAATTACACTGTTTTAGTTTTACATGCTAGTTTTATGTTCATATCGGTGATAGTCTAGTATTTGTACTGTCCATCGTCGACAGGTTTAACTCTTCACAATGTTTTCATTTCTTGTATTATTTAAATTGTTTTCGTCACGATATGGCTGAGATATTGCCGATGTGACGTTAAATATTAACTCACTCACTCACTCACTTCACAACAAACATTAGAATTTTATTAATTATTAATTTGTTGATAATATTTGCCTCATTTATAGAGTACGTATTTCTTCTTGTGGACTGACTGAGTTTGGTTTTACGCCGCTTTTAGCAATATTCCAGCAACATCACGGCGGGGGACACCAGAAATGGGCTTCACACATTGTACCCATGTGGGGATTCGAACCCGGGTCTTCGGCGTGACGAGCCAACGCTTTAACCATTAGGCTACCCCGCCGCCCCTCTTCTTGTGGAGTACAACTGACATGCATGTGTAAGGTAATATTTGTCCACAGCAGCATTATAAAACTGACATAATCATTCTCTTCGTTGTGATAGAGATTGTCGAAAGAGGAACGTCAAAGTATTACTAAATCCTGCTGAAATTTGCGATAATTCTGAGTTCTGATGAATGTGTCCATCTCAGAATATTGAAGATATTTTAACATGCTTCAATTTAAAAATATATTCAAGTAAAGT